TGTGACGAATTTAGTCGTCACAAAAGCGAGTAAGTTTAAATAAATAACATCTTACCTGACTTTACTTTTCGAAATGATTTTGGGTCTTTTTTCCCAAGCTTCGTAACTTTTTTTATGACTCTCTGTGTGAACGATCTATAGGATTGAAAATAATAATTTTGAACAACTTAGGGCAATTAACTTTTAAGATTTTTATGTTACTAAAAAAAAGATTCAAGTTATCAACTTTAGTCGCCCCAGGTGCTAGGCAAGAATCGAACCAGCATCCTTCGCTATCTGTGCAAATTATTTTCTGTTCTATTTTAGATAACATTGGGAAAAATGAGATCCGCTTCACCCCAAATGGCGTGATTTATCAACTTATCGATATGGTTAGACAGTTACTAATAAATGGTGACGAAGCAAAAGGTGTCCCCATGTTCGACCCATATGTTATTGAATCATCGCAAATACAACATTCTCATGGAAAGTTCTACAGGTCCGTATGACACTAAAACTATTGTTCGTAAACTATTTTTTTTAATTGAATAGATATTTTTATGTAATTGTTAACTTTATCCAGATCTCTATCATTATTTAAGAACGGTACCAATAATCATTTAGAAACTAATTGTGCCTTCCAACATAAGTACTTCTGCATTAGTTAGGTTTAAAAATCGGACATAATAAATGTTAGGTGTACATTGTACTACTTCTAATAACGTATACACAAATATTTTTGCTTCTCAGAGCTCAAATGAATATCAGTAAATTTATTTGCACTGGATTAGGAGATTTTCGGGTTGAAGAACAAACATTTTTCAAAGATGAAGTAGCTTTTGATGTTAAAGTTCACTTTCCGCTCCTGAAACTTCAAGCAGGTAAAATAGTCTCTTTTATTTCAGTAACTAAGTATGTATATTATTTTATTTATTTAAAACGAGACGTAAGTATGTTTTTATTTTTATTTTTTTAAGCATTCAACTGCTAGATGTTTAAATCTAAAGAAAAGTTTTACTAGAAAAAAATCCACGCGGACCAGCTTAAAAAAATAAAAACATAACTATAATTGCTATTTCTTCTTTCAAATCAAGAAGTTTAATAGGTACTTGAAAAAGTATTCATTTGACATTGTGGGTTACCTACAGTGCGAAGAGATGGCGCTGCCTTGCAGCTTAAGGCTAGGAAAATTTCGTCGCGTCCATCAGGGCCGTGGTAGCATAATTGGTCAGTGCATTCGCCCGGATTGCGAAGGGTGCGGGTTCGAGTCCCGTCCGCTGCCTGGTCCGCGTAGGTTTTTTTCTAGTGAGACGTAAGTAATTACGTTTTCTTAATTTGTTTTATATGTAACTGCATTCTAGATTACTACGAAATGCAAGGAGATATTAAGGAAGTTATACCAATTGAAGGAAAAGGAATATTATAGTAAGTAAAAATAATAAACTGGACAATTAAGCCTCACTCACGTTTTTCTGAGATAGTCAAGGGAATACATTACAAAGGGTCTCATTTTAGTCCTATAGAACTGAGAACTGTTTTTATTCTGTAACTTCGAGCAAAGTCCCTTGTAGGATTTCTCCCTTTGTTTTTCCTAATGTTTTATAAGTACATAATCATATGTATCGGTGCCTTTTCCTTTGATTACAGTTTTGAAATTGTTGACTTTATTTTATACACCAAAATTTACCTCAAACATTCTAGTACCGGTAAATCTATATTGATTGATAAGATGGAGAAAACACATTTCACCATTGACCAAGTATTGGTAAGTGTACATGAGAAAATATTTCTTTTTGCTTAACATTTGTACAATAATAACAATAATATAAAGCTTTTTAAGGAAATAGCAAAAAGGTTAGTCGACATCACAGGAGGCCGAAGAGCTGGCAGCTACCTCAGACAAAGAATTAGTCTAGCTATTCAAAGGGGGAACGCTGTCAGTATCTTTGGAACCTTGCCTAAAGGGACTCCGTTTAATCATCATATACATAATATTACTATTCAAAATTAGTTTATTGAAGCTTTTGTATTATGGGAATAATACATATAAGTAGGTTGGTAGTTATTTCGTTAGGAGAACATTATTATCGTAAAGAAATTAAGTATCTATAAAACCAAATTTGCAACATACTCTTTTCTATTTCTCTCTACCTGATATGCTAAGAAGAAACTCCATCCCGTACTCGCTAGACCGCCAAACCCAGCAGCCTTCCATTTCCATACTCAACCAACCCAACATTATATGTGATTTTAGAATAGATCATTTCGTAAAATAATAATGTAACGAATTATATCATAGATCAGCAGAGTAATGAGTACCTATTCTAATTTCAGAGTCGTACAGAATTCGATGGAAACTTCGACGCGATTCTGAACGCTTGGATTGCGGACTTCGCCGGAGAGTACCTGACGAGGTTCAATGGTTACATCACAGCTAGTACAGCTGTATATATCGAGTCTATTGTTTCGTCTATTAACTCTGTTCTTAGCGAGTATGAAACGTGGCACATTCTTGCTACTATATTATAACGAAAGCCGTGTAAAAACCTTTGCCGTAACGTTTACCTACGTCATCATAAACGTGGTATATACTTGCTACTATACGATACGATATAGGTATATATAACAAAATAGACGTAAGTATAATAGGTAAAATAAAAATACAGATTCCTATACTATTGTTACTTTATTTTTAATACTGTCAAATACCCTAACTTGTGCCTAGGTTTACCAACTTTTTTTCTATGAAATATATTATATATTTACGAAGCTGTTCGAAAGTGAAAGCTATGTGCTAAAGCTAGTGACGCTGAAGTGAAAGCTCTAAAAATATAGAAGATGGCAAAAAGGTGGAAAAAAAATAATTTGTATTTTTAAAATGAATATATTTTTTCTTTAACACGCCTTAATAATATTTTTTTTTTATTTCTAAGAACGCTTTTACTGGCAAAAATCTGCTTTAAACAAAATATAGTAGTTTCGCCTAAGATATATTTTTTTTTAGAAATATAGATTTTGATCCCCTGATATAGTGGATACTATATTATATAGAAGGGTTGGCAACCATACTTGTAACTTTTTCTGTCTTCTGTGGTGTACCCACTGAACAGTGAAAGCTTTTGGTCATTGGTAAAATTTACCTTTTCTCCGTTTTGTTACTCTTTCAGATTCTTAGTCACAACACTAAAACCTATATAAGTATTTACATGAAAAGTGTTTAATTGAATTTTGAATCATGAGTAAACAACAAATAATAATAAAAAAATGGAAGGTAATAAAAACAATTGTTTCAAAATTAGGTGTCGGCAAATATCACGCTATTTTTTTTCTGATTGAAACAAAAAAAATATACTATTTTGGTCCTTTTAATCCAGATTGTACATGCTTGTGATTTAATCTTAAGCGTAATCGTAATACGATTAATATCATTCACTAATTCGTTCGAGAGCAAGCGCGTAGGTTCCGCAAAGTGCGACCCTCACGAATTGGCACAAGACGAGCTAATGAGTTACTGTGCGCAAGCGCCAACGGCTTAGAGTGGGAACGAAGTTGAAGGAGCAGATGATTTTACTGAAAACATATGAACATGTTGGTTCCAATAGTCTATCTTGAGACCGCGCATGATTCTCCATAGACTAATAATTTAGTCTATGGAGAATCATGCGCAATTATCAAGAGTAGATATTCTTTTTTTAATCACAGTAGTTACGATTTAAGTATTCTATTGTTAAATTTTTATTACACTTATTACTCTCAGCAATATTGATTACTAGTCAAATAAAAGCACGAAGCATTTTTTTTTTCTTTTTACAATAACAATCCAACGCGTTTACGTAAGCATCCCACATTTTGAAAAATCTCACGTGAGATTGGGGGATGGGGGAGGGGGTTGAATACAATCTTACGACATCTCACCAGACGGGGAGGGAGGGACAAAAAATTCAAAAAAACACCTCACGTAATTTATGGACGCCCCTTTTTAGAAATTGTGGAGGTAAAACACCTACCTAAGTACCTACCCACCGGTACTCTAACTCCAAAAAAACTATTTTTTTTTCTGACACATTTAATCACTAGCGCATCTTATCTAACAGCACGTTCATTGTAAAAAGTAGTATGTATTTTCAAATTCAAAAATCGTTTATGGGTAATATCAATATCAACATTTATCTAGTTATACAAGCTCTATGAATGTCACTACGCCATGAAAGAAACTCAACAAGGGCTGTTTTTTCTCTCTGTATTATCATTATAAACAGAGTCATTAAGTCACCCTTAATTTTACATCAAATTAATTTCCATTTATACCTATCACCTTTTCAATCTCGCGGAAAGTTACTTAATTGAATTAATATAACAACATTCGAAAGGTAACCTTTTAAAATTAAAATGTTCAACTTTTACACTTTTACTTTTACTTTTGCACAGATTAATTAAATTAATATAACAATATTCGAAAGGTAACCTTTTAAAATTAAAATGTTCAACTTTTACACCAAGTCAAATAAATAAAAGAGTGTACATAAATTAACTAGGTACTGTAGGTAATATTTGACGACCTCGAGTGGTATGTACGCCGGTTTTCAAGGCATCGTGCTAAGAGGTCCCGAGAGGATTCGAATCCCGGTGGGGCAAATGCTTGTGTGATGAATACGAGCATTTCTATCTAAGTTTAGGATATTTATTATGTATGTATTTCTAAATAAAATTATACTTATATATGTATCAGTATATGTATTCTATCCTGTATCCTAGTATCCCTTAACACAAGACTTACATTGCTTACTTTGGGGCTAGTTTAATTGTTGGTGTGTTAGAAATATTTATTTATTAATTAATAAGTCTACAGGAGTAGAGAAATGCGGCGAATTTGTATGGCATGGAATTGTCGCCTCAATCGGTCTTTATCACAATAATTACGACGGTAATTAACTTATATCTTGGCATCTTCATCTGAAGTAGGTACTATGCCACTCGCGCACCTGAAATCATAACTAATCAATTTGATTAAAATGTTATTATATTAATCTAACATTGCTGATAATCACATCAGTCTTCTAAGTGTGGTCAAGGAAAGCTTTTAGGTAAGTGGGTTTATTAATTTACATAAATAATTTGTAGTAATGTCAAAAACAAATGTTTTACTATATTAATAAAGCCCAAAGTATCAGGCTGGTGAGGCTGAATTGTTGTAATGTGACCCGCCCTTGCTTCGATTGGGTGTAAGTATATAGATTTTGGTTCTCAGGCATGTATTAAACTTATAAACTTTCCATTATTATCTAATTTGTGTGGAAAACCTCTTACTTCAAACCGCATGAAATTTTGTTTAGTAATATTATGTCGACTACGAAGTCAAGGGTATCAAGCTTTTGATTTAAAAATCGGTAGAAAAAATGTTTTTTCTACATATGACTACCGATTTGTAGGGACTAACTTTGAAAGTGTAGATATAGGAACAGAAAAATAATGATATTCTGTGGTGCTATGTTTTCTGCAGTAAGTATATTATCGCTTACGTAAGATCCACAGGTTAGTGGATAGGCATGGGGACAAAGGACATTGCTCGTTCCCCATACATTGAATGCCCTAGAACGCACAGCAATGAGAAATGCTAGTTGTGTTCGGAATCATTCATAAACTCTAATTAGGCATTTTTTGAGATACGGACAACTTGAGGAACCGTGGCCTACCACCGAATGTATTAGATTTTGAGGTAATAAATATTATACTTAATCGTGAAAGATGTACACTTTATAGGTATATATTGAATAGATTTAGTGTTTACCTCTATGTAAGCACTTAAATAATATGCATTAAATGAACATAAAATGCAATTAATAATAAAAATAATAAATGCTTATATTCATATTAATTTATGAGTGTTGGCAGTTGGCGCCTATGATACCTATATCAACCTGTTGTAATAATAGATTTATTTTCAAATGAAATGTTCAAAGTCTTTCCATTTACCTGTTTCTATATTTTACTATCGGTAATTAGGTATGTACCTGGTTATCATTATGACTTTCCTAAAAATAAACAGGTATTATATGGGATGGGAGTATAAACTATCTTTACATAATTTCAGAAATAATCTCTTTATAAATATAATACAAATACTAGTGATCAGTATTAATAACTAAGGTACCGAATTATATTCTTATGTTGTTAAATACCTATGGTCGCCTATATTGCGTTTATTAAGATAAACAATCTTGGCACAAGGTTTTAATAAAATCACCCATTTAAAAATAAAATAATAACGAAGCCAATAAACTATTAAAATAAATCGTTATTATAGACTGAAACCTGTTGAATCCAGTTATCAGTTGATTTTTAATGCTGTATTTTCATAAAATAGGAGTGCCAAGATTGTTTACCAAATAGGACAAGGTAGGATGAACAGACTGTAGTATCTAGTAACAGAACTCTTATTTTTTATTTTTTTAAACAGATTGTCCGTTTACTATGGTTAATTGCTAATAAGTTAAAAAAATAATAGTGAAGGACATTCTTTTGGGCATGCTAGGGCCGATTTCGTCGATGTCCTTTATAATCGTGAGTAAAAAAAAATAAAAGGAAAGTTAGAGGTTATATGTATATAATGTTGAGTCTTACGTATCTTTGTGTTCATCAGGATGAAATTTTGGGTACTGCTCATGTTGTGCGCTGTGTGCGCTGCAGCACCATCGGCCATAGAAAATGAGGAGGCTTTCTCTATTGAGAGTAAGTATAAATAAATATTATTTACTAACTCCGTGATCATGGCGCAACAGCAACAGTGGCGAAATATCGGATACTCCTAAAAAACAAGTTATTAACAATCCCGTTAATAACAATATATAATGTTAGTGATCATGAAAGTTTTGAACAATATAAATTACATTATTTTATAGTAAACAAACAGCACCAACAAGATCTGAAACAATCTTCCCTTAGCAGTTTTGTTAACTGATCATAATAATAACATTGAAAAGATGAAATAAAACCCTAATATTAACTATCTGCCTGTTGTGACTTCCGGCCCGTTGATAAATGGGCGGAAAGACAGACAAACTGTCAAGGAGGTTTAGAAAATGGCTCCGTTGTTGCCCTGTAAATACAGAAAAGAGCTCAACAAAAATTAATATCGTTGACGGAAGTTCTATAAAGTGTAGCATTTGAATGCTTCTTAATCGTAATAAAAAATCACAATAGATGATAACTCATCATCAGCCTATCAATGTCCCCACTACTGGGGCACAGGCCTTCCCTATGGATAGAATAGGGAGATTGGGCCATGACCCACCACGCGGGCCCAGTGCGGATTGGCGGGTGCTAACGGCTGCAGCATGGACCAACGGCTTAACGTGCCTTCCGAAGCAGGGAGGAGCGATATAGTAAATTTTTGGTCACCCATCCAATGACCGACCACTGCGAAGGTTGCTTAACTTCAACGATCGCAGTCGAACTCGCCAATCACTTGCGCCATCGAGATCCTCCTCGAGAATAGATGATTACTCGCTTTTTCTTATTTAAGGCCAAGATATGGAGACGATGGATGCCAGCTCGCGCAACATTCTCGTTAATGCCCTCATCCGACAGATGTTCGCGTACATCCGTTACGTGATCAGGAACGGATCCGCCATATTCAAGACTCCACCGCTCGACCCTCTAGATTTGGAACACATGCACGTCTACATACCTGCGTTACTACTCAAGTACGTTTTCTTTAGTTATTTTAATTGTGAGCTTGTTAAATTAATATTTAAACGAGTTAAATCTCCTTCGGTCTGCGATCATGGAAGTTAAGCTACTTTCGCAATGGCCGATCATTGGATGGATGACCAAAAACATATTATCTTGAGCGATTCGTGCTTCCGAAGGCACGTTAAGCTGTTGGTCCTGGCTGCATCTTAACCCCTCAATCCGTGTTGCGCCCGCTGTGGATTTCTATACCTAAGTTTTGATATTTGGTGGCTCTGCTCGTTATGTATCGGCAGCGGCCTGCGAAGCCCATAAAAAAATGTCGTTAACAGTAAGATTGGAAAGTGTCATTGTCATTGTCTTATTATCCGTGTTTTCGTAAAAACTCTGAGTTTCACGAAAATACTATTTTTCAGATGATCCTACGACCAGTGCTGCCATATCTACCAACTTTTTGGTAGATCTACCAATTTTCACTTCAGTCTACCTATCTACCACCCTAGACCTAAAAACTACCTATTTTTTAATTAGTTTGACATATCACCACTTTGAATTATTCTTATATCGACGAGCGACGTTGCGATGTATTGCGTGAGTCATGCAACGATGCGTCAAGCATACATAGAGTCCAGGCCATAAACCACAAAAAAAAGCAACAGTTCGCCATGAATTCGGCGTTCGCACCATATCGCGCCCATATTTTACTATTCCTATTATGGCCTATTCCCGGTTGGTTTGTTGCGGAATTAATGTTGAATCTTTGCTCCTGTTTTATTGTAAAAACTAATTAACTGCGTATTAACGGTGCTGATTGCTGTTTGTTCTATGTTGCGTGCATTTATTTATATAATGGATTCTGACAGCAGCGAAAGCGATGCATATAGTTCTAGGTTAGGAACTTCGTCACGAAAACCTAGAAAAAGGCACTATGACCAAAAATATTCGAAATTATGGGAGAAAGACAAGGAATTTGCAGGTTGGCTTTAAGAAATTACTAAGGGTGACGGATATTTTTATTGCAAATCATGTAGGTGTGATCTGAAGTGTGCTCTGTATTGCATTGCATGCATTTTTAATCTTAAAAAATCTTCTAAATTGAGGTGGTAGATCTACCAATTATGCATTTTACATTCTACCAACTTCTACCAACATTTGGCACATAATCTACTAATTTTCTAAAATTCGGGTTGGCAACTGCCTACGACATAATACAATATCATATTTACGAAGAGATCCAGTTATATTATTACTCACTTATAAAATGCACCATGGGATACCAAACCGCCCCGGCCTAATAGAGTACTACAAGAGTATTTGAAAAGTTTTAGAAAACGATCTCACGTTATTGACTAATGTATAAGGAGTCCGTAAAAAGTGGATATTCATCATTCTGTTGTGTATTTCAGTAAAAATAACCAAATCAAAAACTCCATTTTCAAGTTGATGCGAAAACGTTTTTCTGGACAATATGGCGTCTTTGTAGTGTGTGACGTCACACGACTGTTATCAAAACGTCAAACGATACAATGTAATGTCACTTTAACTGGAAGTATACTTGCGTGTGACGTCATTTTAGGCTCCGCCAATCCCAAGCGTTTTGGGTCACGTGACAAAAGATAAGAAAACTATTATCTTTTTCGTGGGTTTTTAGTAAAATTATGATATTTTTTATGTATAAATAGTAAAAACCCCTGCCAATATTCATTCTAAACACAGATGCTAACAATTGGCACTTTATTTTTAATACTGTCAAATACCCTATTTCCTATACACGCACAGCGTATTCTGTGTTTTTTTCGATCCTAGTCGAAAATGGGAGATACAGTAATTAAAAAAAAAAGTACCTAGCTATTTGTTTTAATTATCACTTTTTTATGTTTTTTGATCAGCTTGGACTTAAACCTGAAGGGAATTCGCTCCACCGGTATCGGAGATTTCGTGGTACACAGGAGCCACTTGAATTTGGCGGAACTTACTTTCGATATCGACATCTCAGTTCCCAATATCTACATTAGTGCTGGTAAGTGCAATCAAACTAAAGTTTATATTTGGACCAATGCACATATTTAAATCATAGACAGATCATGGACCAACAATATTCAATAATCATGTATATACATATAAGTATATGTATTTCTTTTTCATAAGCCCGGGTTCACCCATTGTCAGGTAGGCCCCTTCATTGGTATCTCCACGTGACCCGATTCCTCATTACGTGCATCCAGGTCTTGCCCACTATTTTGGTGATTTCGTCAATCCAGTGCATAGGTTGCCTTCCCACCTTCCTTTCGGCCATTTCTTGATCTCAACTGTGAACTTTTACGAGTAGATGTATACGGTAATGACTTATATTTATCCATGGCATAGAGTAATGTTATTGATTCATGTCCATGCTTTGGATTGGCATTTTATTTTACATAAAGAAATATCTAAAAACTGATTGGTTAAAGTGAGGATGGGTGGCTGTACTGTAGTGAATCACACTTTTTCTGCCGCAACGGCTATCTTACGATTGAATTGAACCGAAAATGTGGGGTAATTTGCTGCGGCTTATATAAAAACCCACAGAACACAGAAAGAGGTTTTGTGTTCTGTGTAAAAACCCGTGTTCCCTTCCATTGCATAAGATTCAATAAATAATGCTTAATACATAATTCTCGATAATTTTAACTGTCTATGGTTAAAGGCACTAAATTATACTGACAGAAAGGCTAAGTACTGGAACCTTAAACAGCTTCAAAGAAGTTTGTGTTTTATTGCTTCCAGAAAAGATTTAGGTACTTACGCCTAAAATTGTTAATAAACAGACCAATTTTTTTTTATGCTATAGTCGATTAAATGTTGTTTTTTTCCAGCACATTATGATTTAGTCGGGGATCTCTTCACAGCTATTCCTCTTTACGGAGAAGGTGTGGCAAGGTGAGTTTCATTTTGAAGTTTTTTTATTACGAACCGACTTCCAAAATGAGGAAGTTTAAGGTTCGCAATTCATCAATATTTTTTTATGAAAAAAACTTGGTATCAATTATTTGAGAAACCTCGATGAACCTCTTTTCCTAAGATTGGATTGACCATATTTAATGTGTATTTCATTTTGCGTTGGAACGAAAAACGATAAAGTTAATAAAATTAACTTTTGCCGGACACGTTTTTTTTTACCGACTAATTTTGGTAGTTAACCCTAGCGTTTTAAAGCTGGGTGCATATATACGATGTCCTGATTCGGATTCCTGATCAGGAATTCCGATTTGGAAACCTTAATGCACGTCCTAACATACAAAATGTTCACGAGGCGTACACTAATCTTATTTTTTCAGAATTGAAATACCTAACATTCGTTTCGGACTTTAACTAATAAAAAAACCGAAACGTCTGCGCCAGGCTCACGGAATTCCGTATCTGAATTCCTGATCAGGAAACCGTACATGTGCTCCTAGTGTTAATCTCTCATAATTATACGGAATTTTTAGTGTACCAGTCCGACTTGTACTTAGCCGATTTTTTTGTTAATTACTTATGCTTATTTCTTTATTACGATGTTTCCTAATATTAATATTGTATTTAGTGGGTTAATATATAATTTTTCTGTTTAAAGATTCGAGGTAGAAGAATTCAGAATGCGCGCGAAGCTCTTCTTGAAACAGTCAGAAGATGGAAAATCCGTAATCATCGACAGAATCGAGTCTCCTTCCTTCGAAATTCCTAAATTGAAGGTGATTTTCAATTGCTCTTATTTCTCAAATGCTTACTACTATTTACAAACAGAGAATTTGTGCCCATACTGAAGCAGCCGCCGAGTGAAGAAGTGTCTCTTCCTTACTTAATTCTTTGCTTTCTTTGTGCAGATAAGATGTTAAAGTTCCATGATGTAGGTATAGGTTAAAGTGATATAACTGAGTTATCAGAATGATCCAAACACGCGCGTGTCAGCCACCCAGCTATCATAACTTCCGGACTCTATTCACACTAAACAATAGCGGCACTACCTTATAGTGTGCCTTAGTGCGAGATTACGAAAGGGGATGGAGATATTGGGAATTATCTTTACAGCTGCAGGCACTCTTGGCTCCTTAATGAACTGGAGACTGGCGCTCGTGTATCACACACCTTGCATCATAATATAATCGTCCGTTTGCCGTAGAATGCAATGGTTTTCAGCATCTCACTTTCTTTCACTCAAAGACTTCCCCATCTTTTTCTCCTTGTCTGTCCGATTTGTTTGGGATATCCAGAATTCTTACAACTTAACTAAAAAAAAAACAAAAAGAAGTCTGTAGTTATTCAGATCCTCTTTCTGTTTTGTGTGAAAGATCATTGTGTTGTACCTTCAAGTTTATGTTAATGGCGCAAAAAACGAAATTATACTCCTAAAACATAGATGATACGTGCCTATTTGACCCTTTTTTCAACTTCCAGTCCGGCTTGACGGGCGTGATTGGCGGCGGAGACATCGACGCTATTGTGAACGCGATCACTGAGGACGTCATCATGGGCTACGTGAACCGGTTCCAGGGTGTAATCTCGCAAATCTTCTCCAAAGCCGTCATCCTTGTGGGCAACCCGATCTTGGAGCAACTCGACACGTGGAGGTTTATCGCTCCTTTCATACCGAGGCCGCGTCCTTAGGTAATGAGAGACACGATCCGGCCAACCTTCCATAAACGAAATGACATGTATTTTTTATAAAAAATAATAATACTGCTTTGTTTTGTATTTTTATGGTGATATTAATACAATTATAATCGGGCAAAATTGACAAACTTATTTATTTAAATGGAGTAAGTAGGTAATTAATAAAATTTTATAGACAAAGTAGGTAAGTTTATTTAGACAAAACTGTAAAAACTAATTACAGTTTTGTCTAAATAAAAGCGTTACTATCTAATCTACGCTACGACGACATAATCAATAAAAAATTAATTATTAAAAGTCTGATCTGAATAAATGGTTTTCTTTAAGAAAATTAAAACTCATATTAATTTTACTTGAGAGATCCTATCAAAAAGATTTAATTCTCAACTATTCAGACACATTTGAGTACTTACCTTTTCTTATGTAGGGAAAATGCATGACGCATCCCCCGCCCACCGGAAGTAGTGGGCACATTATATATTATATAAAATAATAACTAAACTTTGCTTGCATGTCCGCATGAAGTATTCATAAAAACCCCTCGGGAACCCTCTTTCACTGAGAATAACAATTCCAGAAAATCTACTCGTCGGCAATTGGTAGTCCAGTACCTATTAGCTCGTTTTTTGAGAATCAAATAGGAAATTTATTAGTATCCGGGATATAAAGTACTTATCATATAAGTATGTCAATCCAGTTAATAAACTATATACACTTCTGGACACATCTATTGGCCCTCCTTGTATTTTCAGTTTCTTTTGGTCCTAGCTAAAATTTTATGTTAGGTCGAGCAAAAAGTTTTTATGCAGTTTTGAACCTGGCACATTCACAATTTCATTCAATAGTCTTTTTTTGAATTTCGAACACAGAATTTAAAGAAACAAAAGACAATTTGGAGCCTGTTTGTTGATATCAAACAATCGAATACTAAGAAAACTTGGTTTTATTGGTTTACATGGATTTAATTCTTGAAAAAGTGATTGATATCTTTGGTTTTGCAACAAACATTACTTATTCTTAACATTAAGGTGAGGTTCTATCAATAATCTATGGATACTTCACCTCAAGTCGCCGCCCAAGCTGTGGCACTTATTCAGGCCGGACACAGCCAAAGAAACGTGAGTGCTCAACTTAATTTAAGTCGATCTGCGGTCCGAAATGTTTATCGGATGTACCTAGAGACTGGCGGCTTTGTTCGTCGCCAAGGAAGGCCACGATCTCGGGTCACAACTGAAAGGCAGGATCGATTCATCGTGACGACCAGCTTGAGAAATCGTCACCTTACCTCCATTGAGATACAAAAACAAATTCGCGACTTCCACGGAGTATCTGTGAGCGCTCGAACTGTTCGGAGAAGGTTAAGAGAACGCGATATGATACCACACAAGCCAGCTAATGGGCCCAAACTAACGCGAGCCCACCGAACAGCGCGCCTTCATTTCGCACGCAGTCATTTAAATTGGACACAGCAAGATTGGAGCCGTGTACTCTTTTCTGATGAGTCTAAAATTGTGTTACATGGCAATGATGGAAGGAAGAAGGTCTACCGACGTAAGGGAGAGCGTTTCGCACAATGCTGCTTTGAAGAGAGGGTTGCTTATGGCGGTGGCTCATGGACTGTCTGGGGCGGTATATCCGCGACCACGGCTGCCAACATTAAATGCTGAAAGGTACATTCGTGAGTGCTTAGAACCTCACGTGATACCATAGGCGGACTATGTGGGCCCAAATTTCCTTTTTATGCATGATAATGCAAGAGCCCATGCGGCCGGCATCGTCAGGGAATATCTTCACAGTGAACATCACAGTTATGGACTGGCCAGCCAGAAGCCCAGACATGAACCCCATTGAGCACATGTGGGACGAGCTAAAAAGACATGTTAGGACTCGTCAGCCAGTTGCCCAGACGATGCAGGAGTTGAAAACTGCCATAGAAGAGGAATGGGAGATGATCCCTCAAAATTTCATAGAGCGGTTGATAAACTCTATGCCTAATCGTATGAGAGCTGTGGTAGATGCTCATGGAGGCAACACGCGTTATTAAATTAAACCTTTATTTGATAAAACATGTTGTTTATTCAAAAATCAATGGCCTTTAACAAGGCGCATATCCGACTTGTTAGGCGTAGCTCCATATCGTATGGTATTCTGAATTCAAATTCAAAACAATACGATCGAAAAAGATGGTAAAATGTATCAGGTTTAAAACTGCATCAACAGTTTTTGTTCAATCTAGCAATCATATTTCGGTAGGGGCCATCTAAACCTAAACTCTAAGGTGGGCCAATAGATGTGTCCAGAAGTGTATATACCTATGTGAAACTTATTGAACTATGCTGTACTTTGTCTGAAACTTGTCTATGGTACTGTGAAACATTAACGACACACTTGTATCTCGCACTAAATTGATATGGTTTTTGAAGCTGTACAGAATACTCCGCAGCCAGTTTTCGTCACGAATAGTAAATTCCGAAACTAATCTCATGATTTTAACTCTTGTTTGTATGACCACACAGGGTAACCATGGTTATCTCTCTAGTGATATTGATGTCATTCCTGATATTGAATTCCTGATATGATATGTCCCATCTTATGTAATAATATTATCACGCCTTCATATAAATTTAAGGTGTAAACTTTGAATATAAGAATTATATCAAAAAACTTTCGATTCCTTTTTAGTTTCACTAATTCGTTTGCACTGCCGGATTTAGGGGAGGGCAACCGGGGCGAAAGCCCCGGGGCCTCCACAAACGGGGGCCCCCCACAATAGAGACGTCAGAAAAAAAATCTTTCAAATTCCAACTAGTAAACACTAGTAAACATCTTTTCCCTTGATATTTTTTTTGCTCTTTTACCTTTACCTACAGCCTACATGTACTTTGATGTACTTTGTACATCTAACATACATGATTATCTACTATATATAAAAAAAGGTAAATTTAAAAAATCAAAAAACCCGACTGCTTAATTATACTTCAAATAAAAACTGAAAAGAAAAAAACAAGTCCAGTAGTCTATAATTCTGTTAATAAGGAACAAAGCTACTTTAACAGTCGGGACCCATTAGATATTCAAGAATACACAATATTTTTCAACAGTGGGTCCCGACTGTTAAAGTAGCTTTGTTCCTTATTAACAGAATTATAGACTACTGGACTTGGTTTTTTCTTTTCAGTTTTTATTTGAAGTATAATTAAGCAGTCGGGTTTTTTGATTTTTTAAATTTACCTTTTTTATTTCACACTTTTTAGTTAGTTAGTATTTTAAGACGGTATATACCGTAGTCTTGTTATTTCAGTAAGGGAATAAATATCGAGAGAATTATTAAGTGCCTTGCGTCGGTCTGAAAGATTGATTTATTAAGACTTATAAAGACTTTACCAGCGGGGTCAAGGCTACAGATGGGCCTCAATTTTCGCGAAAATGTGTGAAGTTAAATCAAGTCGTTACATAAATATCTCTAATGTATGTAAATTTTATAGTAAACTAGCACTTACTCAAATGTCATCTTTTGTTTATGTTTTTTTTAATAGTTTAGCAGTAAATATAAAATTAATTTACTTTTTTTCGTCGACTATTTAAAATTGGCAGTGGCTGCATTGTCATGTCAATGCCGGACGTCTTAGATTGTGATATACACAAATTCAGTGTCAGTCCCTAGTCTCATAATTTGATATACCTACATAATTCACAGAAACCCAATATGTAGATGCCAGAAGTTAACTTCAAATGTTTTTAATCACCCTATATACAATACCAATCAATGACGTTCATGTCGCAGGTTGAAGAAAGCAGTAATTCCCGTCTGTTGTTTTGGACAATGATGGCAACTGCCTTAGATCACTAAATTAAATAATTATGCAATCACCAAAGCAAAGTTTATAATATTAGATTAAACTAAAGACGCATAATAAAATTTTCATAACGTTAGGTAGAGCACCATAGCAATCTCATTTATTATCAATTTATAGTTCTCTTTGTAGTTTTCTTTTAAAGCGTTCACATTTAACAGGTCAAAGACTTTGTGTTCGACCCTTTTTTATTGGTAGTGTAAAGCTCGAATGAAGAATACTCCCAGTAGTGCAATCATAGCAATTATTTTCCAAAAATTTTTTTGTTATAAATATACCGAATAACGTATCACTGTTAAGCACAAATGCTAAGTAACTTTTACAAATATAATCAAATAAACCTATTAATTACTTTATTTTTAAATCTTTTTCATCAATTAAATACTTATCTTATCCTAACTATCTATACTAATATTATAAAGAGGCAAGATTTGTATGTTTGTAACAAATAATCTGAAACTACTGAACCGGTTTCAAATATTAATTCATCATAAGGTTTATTACATTATTTATTATAACATTTTTCTTTATTTAAATACATTTTGTCCGAGTGACATAGGCTATATTTTATCCCGATAAATAAATTTCGCCCGTACAATGCCCGGGTGGATCACTAGTAAGTATAATATAATATTATAGATCCGAAAATGAGTTTGTTTGTTGCGCTTCCGTGCCCTAATAGCTAAATCGAATATAATGAATTCCCATATAGAAGTAGATGGGAACTTGGTTCTTAGCTACAACATCGCAATACTTATAGGCGTAGGGTGATGAAAGGGGTGATTTACCTATAAAAATCTACATTATTTACTTTGAATTTTGCAGAATTATTACAAAACCAATATTATCGCGAGCTGATTAATAAATACAGGGATTCCAATAAATATGTACTTACTAGCGAAAAATGGGTTATTTGTCATTATATTAAGTAAACCTTTATGTAACATTAAGTAATATCATTAAAAAAAATGAAAAACAGTAAAATCTGAGTTTTTCATTAAAATTCAATAATATATTATTATAATATATTTTTCATCATTTAATAAGAAGGAACCGTATCACAGTTTTATTGTTAGTACTTCGTATAGGATCAGATACTGCGAATACCCCATTTTTTTTTTCTTTTACATAGTACACCGCGCTATCACTTTGTCATCGTTGTAACTTTTTAAATATTTGTCGAAATGACATAGTGTAAAAAGCAAAGTTTATCGTCTTTAAATATCAAAAGCGATAAAAGTATTTGTTTTGATAAAAAATGA